GAAAATCATTTTCTTTTCTTTTCATTCCAAAATCCTTGAACCAAACATAGTGTTAAGAGAAATGTAGTCATAAACACTTGTGATCTTTGGGTTTGTGAATGATATGTTTCCCTTTGATATTTAAATTTTAGAATCTAAGTCAAATTTGATAGTGGGACAATTCGAGATGAAGGGTGTAGAAGATATTTGGTTTCCTTTAATATTCAAATTTGACAATCAAGTTGAATAACTTGAATCTCATCTAGTTATTATGTATGAGTATATTTCGTTCAACTATGTTCAATGAGCCTAGCCAAGGGAGGGGTGTGAAGGATCCAGTTTAGATGGGGAAAGAGAGAAATTACGAATAAATGATGTGTCTTTAATTAAGTTAATTATTTATTATTCATAAAGTTAAATTTTATTTATTTTCTTTTTTTATTTTAGTTACTTATTTGATAAAGTGATATAATTATGTAATTTTTTGTTTCTTAGAATTTTTAATGTAATTTTTTAATATATAAAGTTTATTAATTAATTCCACTGTAATTTTCTAATAAATTGCATTAAAAATAACTTCAGTCAAACGTCGTAAATTGAAATATATAATTTAAATTGAGACGAATGAAATTTATGTCTAAAAATATCTATACTATGCTATACTATATATACAAAAGAGGAAAGAATTGGGGGAAGAAAAAAAGGGAAAAAGAAAGGGAAAAAAATAGTGGTTTCCCGCCCAAAACATAGCCATATATATTCTCCGTTGATAAGATTTTCTACATAGAATCGATGGCTATTGTTGAATTTTTGGTCCTGCGTGTGTAGGAGTAGGTTAATTGTTGGCTTTCATGTCTCAATTCATTAATTGGAGTAGACGAGCCATTTACACTTATCCATGCACCCGAGGAGTATTAAGGGAGTATTAAAGGATGGAATGTTTACAAAACAAAGAATAATGCTAGAGTTACAAACAAACAGTTCACAAAATTAAATGATGCAACATGATTGACTGTCTTGCAATAATTTTCTATTTTATTATGAAATACAAAACATTTACCTTAAAATTATAATCTCATTATGAATAATGTACAAACTTGAATATCTTTTGAAATAATTTTATTTATAAATTAAATTGGTATAAACAAAAAGTTCGGATTACATATTTAAAAAAAAATCTACAAAACAAGAGGTCACAATAACAACAAAGTAGAGTTTGGAAAATAAATATTTTATTATATCCAATGATAATAAAAAATAAACAAATAAATAAAAATAATCGAGAGATCAGTGTAGTGAGTGTGAGGATAGTTCTAAGACGGAAGGATATTTCCCTTTGTTCTATCAAAAGATGCATGTGTTAATAACATCGTTGATTACCATAGCAAAGTAATATGCTGCGTATTTATTCCTTCGTCCAAAAATCTCATTTACATTTAGTTTTTCAAGGTCAATTTTAAAAATTTTAACCGTCATTTGTAAAAAAATTAATTCTACTATAAATTTAAAATGAGTTCATTTTAAAATATACCCCGGCGTAGTTTTAATATATCAAATTTTTACTATCCTTTATTTATGTACAATTACAAATTCATATTATTTTATTAATTATCAAAGTATCTAAAAGTAATTTTTTTAGAGAAAAGAAGTAACATTCATTAAGAGTCTCTGTAGAACATCATGCAAAACCGGCATGATGCTATGTGTCAATTGCCACCTTGCATGAAGGCTTGCAAATACCTCCCTTTGTTGTGACAGTCATGCGTGAGTAGTTTAGTGAACCCACTCACAGAATATGAAAATGAAAGAAGCGATGAGTTTCAAGATCGCAAACCCCCCATCACTTGGCACTTCGTGAGACAAACACCCAAAGATACATAAGTGATTCAAGTCAATAACTTTTTAGTGAGTATCTCAAGAGGAAACTTACCTTCAAGGAGTTTAGTGTGGGTACGATTAATGAGGTACACAATAGTTTTAACGCATTCACCCCAGAACTCCAGAGGAAGAGATGCTTGTAACATAAGAGCACATGGGATATTTAATATGTGTTAATGTTTATGCTCAACCCACCCATTTTGTTGTGGAGTATCTACACGGGATGTTTGGATACAACTCCCATGTTATTATAGTAGGCACAAAGATGTGCATTTAGAAACTTAGTACCATTGTCAAACCTCACAATTTTGATGGTTTTATTGTATTGGGTTAGGATACTTTGTGTTCCTATTGTGTGCATCTTTCTACGGGTCGAGTGTGTCCAGGTCAAACCCAGTCAACCCACTCATCTATATTTACACCATCAGTACCACTCAATTATGATCAATATATAAATGATTTTTCACAATAATAATGATGTTTTTTACGAATAAAATCTTATGTGATGCATGACGATAAGCTAGGGTGTTAACACTCGAAGCTAGGCCACTAATTGCTATTGGATGTAATGTTGATTGATGATTATGATGAATGATTGTTATGGATGATTATAATTTGATGAACTTACTGATTAAAATGATTATTGTTAATGATTGAACCATGACATAAAAATGAATATCTTGATGATTATAATGCATATTGAATTTAAGGGTATCTAGAAAAACTCTAAGATATACCCATAGTGATGTTGATTTTGAAGGATATCTAGTAGAACTCTAAGATATACCCATTTAGTTAGGCTTTGAAGGTATAATATCCGATGGTCAGGGTTAAAACGTACATACAGGATCCACAAACCAAACTTAAGTACCTACTCGTTTGGGAGTACCACCCAACCCGACAGTGAGCATTCCACTGTTCGGTTTCTGGTTGACCTTAAGCGAAGGTAAGTTTAAAATTTTGAAAATCTATATCTTAAACTAGGCCTAGCTTAAGAATTGGTTAGGAATACCTTAAACTAGAATTAGTTAAAGAATTAAATTGGCCTTAGACCAAGAATAGTTTATGAGCATTGTTGACACTATGAATGTTGGATATGAATGTTGAATATGAATGATGAATATTGAAAATTGATTATTGAAAATCTGAACTGAACATTATGTGCATGATATCAAATGATTTGATTATGAATTGAGATTCAATTTATATGAATGTTTGACGCATTAGGTCTGCTTACTCAGCTTCAACGCTGAGCGTGTAGTATGTTTTGTTTGCTACAGGTAGGTGTATAAAAGAATGAAGTGATGTATTCCTGGTAGCAAATGGGGTGAGATGGTTTGCATTAATGTGAAAATTTGAATTGTTGTTTTGAAAGTCATAAAAATTATTATGTTTTGTAATTGTTATTATTAAGCTTCCACAACGCTAAACTATTCCGTTATTATCTTGAATGATTTATTATGAAACAAAGCTTTAAATGTTTGAAATGTTTTAAATTTTTACGATTACCAAGTTAATACTTTAGTTCGAAAGAGACTGCAGATCTAGATGGATTAAGGTGTTACATCAAATCTCTACATTGAGAACTCCTAAATTCGAGAGATATCAAAACTCTCCATTTTGAGTATTTGCGATCTCTGGAGATATTAAATTCAAATTCTTTTATGCCTCACCAAACAAAGAAAAAGAAACTTGATATCGAGAGATATGAAAACTCATATCTCCTACACCACCAAATGGGCGACATGGAAAAAAAGATATTATGTTAGAAGCCATAGAGACAAGCCCAAACAGTATTTCAGTTAAAAGTCTTACGTACTAAGATTATGCCAATACTTTGGAAGGTGTTCTTAAGTGATCAAATGGTGTAATCTTTATCAAGGTTTGGTGGATGAATGCTACATGCACGAACGTGGCACCTCGTAGAATATGAGAATTTCTCCAAGCTGCATAAACAATTCTCATTGCACTGTTTTCTAGTTTTACTTATTTATATGTAATTGTGTGTTACTGTGAAGATGCTATAACACTTTGTCATTTTTATCTTGACTACGACATCATTATAGTCTTGTCTGTGTTGGATTCAATTTGTTTGTTTGAGTTGTTTTATGAGGCACAAAGATGTCATATTTTGGTCTTATTAAAATAAGTTTCTTTTAAAATAATTTAGAATTTATACAAAATGTAATTATTTTAATTATGACGAGTATCGATATTTGAGTAATTACAAACTTTAGAGTACGTATATGGTACAACCGACTGTACGAGAAGTAAGGTACATCATGGTAGTACTCATTATAAAATAAATTAGTACTCATCTTCTAATATACAAAGCTAAAGTGAACAAATGATATCTTCTCGCCTAAAGTTCTCGGGCACGGTTTGGGCGTTAAGTTCGGGTATCGATTTGGGCAAAGATGAAAATTGATCCGATTGGGCAAATGAGTTTTTGGTTGGGCTAATGGGTCTTTGGTACCCGTGAAGGCATTAAAAGCATGTCTTGATCGGACAAATGAGTTTTTTATCCATTCGATTGGGTAAATGGGTTTTTTTATTCATCCACCAGAGTAGCTCTTCTTTCTTAATCTACTTAACTTCGGCGGACAGTCTGATGGTGTGCCTCCCTTTGTCGTCTGTGCGCATCTCCATTGCCAGATATTGGATCTTCTTCTTTGATCGGACTAATCTTCTACAGAGCATTCCCTTCTATTCGTTGCTCTCGCTTCATCGGCGCCTCTCCTCCGATCTAAAATTTCCAGTTCTCCTCTTCGCTTGCGTTTTTTGCCGTTTCGTTTTACGAGCTGTACACAACTTTGAGCACCGCCGTCAATATAATACTCATTGTGGTCCTAAAAACCTTTCCTTTTTTGATTTATTTTTAGTCAAATAGTAACACACTTTGACCATAAATTATGAGAAAAATATATTTAATTTTATTATAAATGCAATATAATTAGGTTAATCTTAGTATATAGTTTTGATATATTAATTTCTTATATCATTTATTTGTTCATATTATGTTTAATTTATGATCAAGAGTATCACTATTTAACTTAAAAAAGTTAAAACATACTCCGTAAAAGATATTTAGGAAGAGTAATACTATGGAGTATAAATTACCCAAACTTTATCCTAGCGTGGAAAACCAACTTATCATAAGAGCATTGGCAGCGGCAACGAGAAGCCTTGCCACGCACTGCCATTCAGGTAGAGGGAAGCGCGACAGTGGGCGAGGAAAAAAAGGGTCGCGAGGCATTCCACGAGGCACTTCGCTTTGCGTGGCAGATGCGAGGCAAAATTGAAGCAGCAAAAATACAATTTGGAAAATCATTCGTCACGGTTTTTTCTCTTCTCTGCGCGGACTTCTCCGGCCATTGTTTTTTCTCTTCTCTGCACAGAGTCTTCTCCGACCATCATCCTTCACCTGCAAAACTGAGGTAACTCCACTCATCTTTGATTGCTCTGCATTCCATCTCTCTGCTTGATTTCTTTTAGGTCTGAATAGATTATTTTTAGTTCATCAATAAATCAAATGGATGAATTCATGGTAGTGCACACTAGGTGTTTGACAAAATTTCCAAATGTAGGTTATTGAGTTTTTGGACAAAAAATACTATTGTTGGAGAAATATAATCATTACAATTTTAACTCTTGTTCTAAGTGATTGTAATGTGAAACACCCACAATTTGATATTCTTTATTGAAGTATTTGGAATTTGGAAACATTACATGTAGGCTATATTGCTAAGATATATATTTGATGTTGATTTTGCTGTTATTATGAAACCTAGCTTCCAATTAAAATGGATAATAAAGTGATGGTGATGAACCAGAGCTTGAAATTGGAACAATGAGCAACCAATCTGTTTTTAGCAATGATTCCCAATGAGCTTTTATTTTTTGCTTTCATTTAATCATCTTTCACTCTTCTATTTACAGATTAAAAGCAGTGTTTCCTAACTTGTTTTGAGTAATTTGACAAAACCACAATTTCTTGCTCTACAAAGGAATTGAAAACCAAAGTATGTAAGTTATTTTTATGAATAATTCGTTGAGCCCACAAAGACAGGAGCACTACTTTTCAAGACTCAAATTACATTCAACATCAAAGAATAGTTAAAGTCTCCTTTAAAAAAATTAATGGAAAAATCAAAATTTGGTGTAAAAATGAACTTACATGATGTGTTGGGGCTTCCAAATGATAGAGTAAGTGTGGAAGTTGTTGGTTGGGTCAAACCAGAGTTTAAACTGCTATTTTCTCCCACCTTTCCCTTGTGCAAAAACATTTGTGTGCAAAAACATTTGTGTGCAGTTTAAACTGCCATATGGCTCACCACTCACATGTTTATTTACCCATCAGTGTGTATGGCTCACCACAACAATTCTCGTAAACAAGTTTTTTAGTTCTTGAATTATTATTATGATGTGTTTTTCAAATTTTTTAAATGGTTGTAATAGAATATTCTATTTTTAATTTTCCATATTCAAATACATTACTAAATAATTATGAATAATTAAAGTATACTTCGTACAATTTAAATCTTCATAACAAAATATAAACATTTATAAAAAAGCAAAAATAAAATATATTGAGTTGAGAAAAAGTAATATAAAATGATTAAAATATGCCAAAAATCTGAAGTGAGTAAAAAAATAATGCCATGCCACTACAGTACACACTACTCTAATGTCATGCCACTGTGTGACTAGATTAACTTTGATTAGTTAAATAATGTCATGTCAGTGTGTGACATTCCAATAACTTGCCATTATTGATGCTCTAATACTTTTCCAAAAGTACACAAAATCAAGCAAAATCCGCGTTTTCTCTCTCTATCCTCTTCCGCTCCGTTTACAAGTCAGTCTTCGGTCAGTGTACGACGATGCGTCTCTCTGTCCTCGTGCGGCGGCGGCAATTTCATTTCCTCCGTTTCCGGATTTGTAGACAGTAGATTACCAAGAAGATAGGAAGATTTCAATAGATTTACCGCTGATGCTGGCCTGCTCAATCTTTAGAGCATTGGTATAGTGATTATTACATGGATCGATCCCGACCTCGTAATCGAGATGCATCGATTGCCTTTTATCTCGGGTCATAAGAAGCGGATGGACTCGAAGTCCAGCCGCCGAGGCAAATCCGCCGCCGCCAAGCATTCCCCAAAACTCGAGCGCAGCATCGCTCTGAGGAATGTCGACTACGAGCCCTCCACCTCATCTTCTTCATCCTACAGCGGATCCCTGGACCTGGATAGAATGAGGAGCTTTCGAATTGATGGGACCGGTGGCGGAATTGAAGGGATGTTCAGAGACTTGGGGCTTTCTGCTGATGACTTTATTATTCCAGCAGCCGAATGGGAGGCAATGAAGGTGCGGTCTTCTTCGGATCCCCTTCCCCTTCTTAGTGATTCTGCTAGTTTGATCGTTTGTAAAGATTCTGAGGTTTGTGTGGTGAATCCAAGGCGGAGTGATTGTGATGTTGGTGGCTTTGGCACTAGCCAGGATGCCGGGGTTTGTGGAGCAGTTGATAGATTTGATGAACGTCTAAGGTGTGATAGTGTCGTTTTGGATGAAACCGAGCCTGTCAGATTAGTTCCTGGTAATGATGGTCGTAGAGGCATCAAGGGTCTCAAGCCTCCTACTTTGACTACACCGTCTCCAATGTCATTACCACTCGATGATTCGTGTTCAACTTGGGATGTTGTGAATGAATTTGGGCCAAATGAAGAGAGGGAATCAGATTTCAAGCTTCCGGAAAGATTGAGGCCGGGAGGGGAAGATGGATATATAAACGGTGCTCAGGAATGGGCGGGGGAAGATGGGGACGCGAAAAATGATATAGGCACAAGATTAACGAATGGGGTGCTTTCAGCATCTAGTTCATTTACCACAAATTCAAATGATGATGATTCTTCAAGCACCACAACTGAGCCTATGTCAGTCATTTCCCCGAACGGGAAATTCCTTCGTATTATTACTGGTTGGCAGAAGGGTGGACTCTTAGGAAGCGGATCATTTGGAACAGTCTATGAAGGCATTGCGGAGTAAGTATACTTGTCACTGTTACTTTTCTTTGTTTTATTGATATAAGAGATGCTAATAAACCGAGGTACTGTTGCTATCTACAACGGGCAAGCATTTGTTACAAATGTCTACTGGCTGAATGGGGAAACATGTTTCTAATCTGAGGACTAAGATTTAACATAGACCATATAACAGAGGTTTATAATAGGTGATGGCATGTTTGCTAAGGATGCAAATCAAGCAATGAGAGTTGGCTAGTGGAAATCATCAGGCAAAGAACATACACATATATCTTTGTGTGTGTGCAGACCTGCTAAAACAAGAAACCAAGTCAAAGAAACTCTCACTCAAAAGAAAGTCTAGGGGAGGGGTATGATGTATTTTGGCCTTACTTCCATTTCAAAGGAGTATAGAGCTAAAAAAAGAGACGGGGGCAATTTTTTAAGGCAGTTTTAGTTAAGGAGTACAACCGCTTATGTTTTAAACATAGGGGCTAAACTGCATACATCCGACCCCCTTACCCCGCAGCGGGCAAAAGCCTTTGAGGCATTGGGGTAATGTTGTTGTTGTTGTACAAATATAGCTATTCATGTAATGCTGCCTTGGTAGTGGATGGGGTATTAAGTTCTTCTTGGCCTCTGATGCAGATAGAGTGAGAAGAAGATAAGGATTGAAGTGATTTTTTTGGGGTGTGATGTTTCGGATATGGTATATCACATCAAAAGTACCACTCAACATATTTTCATATTTTCAAAAAAAAAAACAAACAATCAAACAAAAGACACCTTGTTTTCTTTTCTTTTTCTTTTCCCTTTTTCGTTGGACCCATGTCATGAAGATTCGACAAAGTTTTACGTTGGTTGCTGAGACCTAACACAACCCTCCTCTTGTATCCGGACTTGGGACTGGCTATGTAACGTAGTTACATAGGCAGTGTTAAAGCTTTAAAGCCCAATAATATTTGCAACACTTGTTATCACCCGAAGTGCTTCGGGCTTTATATGTGACAAAAAAGTACCTTTAAAACTAAAGGGAAAATTTTACCGTACTGCTATTAGAGCAGCTATATTGTATGGGACAGAGTGGTGGGCAGCAAAGAGTGAGCTTGAACACAAGGTTAGTGTGGCGGAAATGAAGATGCTTCGTTGGGTGAGCGGTCATACGTGTATGGATATGATAAGGAATGAAGATATGAGAGCTAAAGTTGGAGTGACACCTATTGTAGGAAAAATGGTGGAAACTCATCTTAGGTGGATTGGACATGTGGAGAGAAGACCAATAGAGCATCCCGTGAGAAGGGTTGATCAAATGGTGAATAGACATGTGGCTGGAGGAAGAGGTAGACCTAAGAGGACTTGGCAAACATTGATCAAGGGAGACCTTTGCGTGAACAATCTCACAGCTGATATGATGACCTTTGCGTGAACAATCTCACAGCTGATATGATACATGATAGGGCGCAATGGCGTCGTTTGATCCATGTAGCCGACCCCACCTAGTGGGATAAGGCTTTGTTGTTATTGTTGTTCCCTTTTTGGGTGGATGGTGTGAGATCAAAACAGACCAATATTACTAAACAGTGCTCGTAAAACCGCGAGCTAAGATAGAAAAAAAGCTGTCAAATGAGCTGTTATCTTGAACATATTAGTTGTAGGTGTTCAATTTATTGGCCTCAACTCATTTTCTTTAATTTACTTTCTGCAGTGGTGGCTTCTTTTTTGCGGTGAAAGAAGTTTCTTTGCTGGATCAATGTGAGGAAGGGAGGCAACGCATTTGCAACCTTGAACATGTTAGTTGTGATTCATTTACTGCAATTTTATGTTATTGTTACTTAATACAAACAATCTAGTGCTTCTTCTTCCATCTTCATTTGTTCTCGTGTTGTGCTCTGATGTGTAGAAAGAAATGGGTAAACAAATTGGAGAGGAAAAAAATGGTATAAGAAAATGGAGAACGAAATTTGTGTTGGATGAGATGAAATTGAAATCAGGAGAAATGGGGGAGGGAGGGGTGAGAAATAGAGGCAGTGATGGCATAGTACATGAATTCAAAGGGAGAGAGGACCTAGGTCCAAAATATAGTCTGGTGAGAGAGCGAGTGGGTTCAATTATCTCCCGTAATAATATTTTATAAAATACGGAATATGAGATTATTTCTCAGCCTGTTTTCTTTTGAATCTCATCAAAATCTTACTTTGCATTTTCTTCCTCACACATAACAAGAGAAGGGATATAATCCATCAATCTTCCTTCACCCACCCACCAAACAATTATTCTTTTCTGCTTCCCCTCTCTCCCTAAATGTGATAACTCTGACCCATTTGTATTATTCTCTCTTAATCAGGAGATTGCTCTCTTAAGGCAGTTTGAACATGAGAACATTGTACAGTACTATGGTACAGAGAAGGTATCACCCCTCTAACTTTTAAGCTGTAGTATTTTGTCGCTTGTGATATGTAATCTATAATTTAGCTCTGTACTAAAACAAGGAACTGTTCTTTATCATCATCGTCATTGATTGATTGTCTTTACATGCAATCCTTTGTGCTAAAGGTCTTGCACTCCAATACATAGTGTTTTTCTTGACAGTAAAGCAACTCTTTATAAAATAGACCCTATGTGTTTAACTGTTTATACTCTTGGGGATACAACTGTTCCTGCATTTTGGTCTTGTGTTCAGGTGCTCCTTAAGAAGTATGAATTCTCTGCGTTTGTTCTTAGGAATCTTAGCATCTATGACTTCCATTTTCCCCATTATTTGTATACATCTTTCTGCCAGTTCTTTCGCATGCTATATATGTGATCACTCCTAACGGAGCTTAATTCTGAATATTGTTTTAGTTTATTATTTGGTGTTGTTTATGTTTCTAGTTCCAAATTTTATGGTCTTATATATTTTCATCCTTGCAGGATGATTCAAAATTATATATATTTCTAGAGCTGGTATCTAAGGGATCACTTCTGGAACTGTATCAGAAATATTGGCTTCGAGATTCCCAAGTCTCTCGCTATACAAGGCAGATTTTGCTTGGGCTGAAGTATCTACACGATCAAAATGTTATCCACAGGTGATCAGACTTGTAGAGTGTTTGCAAATTATCTTGCTCATGCCATATATTTCTTCTCTTAGTGATTAAAAAAACTAGTTTTAGTATATGCCTGAAAAATAAATTCAATTTTTTGACTGAAGTTATTTTCAATTCAATTTATAATATTGGTGTAAAGAAAGTGAATAAAGTTTGACCCTATGAATAGTAACTTGGACGAACCTAGAGGAATGTAGGGAGTAATGGTTTATCCTCCCAAGTCTACAAAAGGGTGACGGGAACAATAAACACTCTCAAAGTTGATTTCTCCATAATATTAGTACAATATATTCCAAAGCATCAGATAACACTCCCTGTATTTGGGAATATTTGTTCGATTTTTTTGGCACAAAACCTGATGAGAAGAAAAAGAGTGAATGTCACAATTACCCCTAATCCCGCCCCATCCCTCCGCTGCCCTAGCCCTATCCCGTTGCCACACTAGTTCTCATGCACTCTCTGGCTACTTTCTTTCCGTCACCAACTTCATCCAACTCTCCGGCTTATTTAGAATAAGAATATAAGAATAAGAGGCTAATATTCTTATTAACTATGCTTAGTGACACTGCTCCTTTTTGGTACAATAATTTCTCCATATCAAAGCAATCACACCTATTTCTCTATTCACAATGTTTCAACATAGGTTTTAAGTAAGGGAACCAAGTTCGCTCCATCTATTCAACATGCCCTTGAGCAGAATGTTCCTTATTCATAGTAGCTGTATGCGAACATTATTCATACGGCATTGCATTACCATGTACCATCATTAGTCTACTTTAATCAGCTGGGTGTGCCCTTAATGAAATAAGTATTTACCCAGTTGCCTTTTTTGAAAGTGGGTGAAGTCAAGGGATCCTAAATACATGGATAAGAATTTCAAACCGTATGCCCATCCAATGTTACAGAACATAAACCAGTTACAATTTTGTTACTAATTCACATTTGTATTATGGAATTGTATCACAATTCTTATTTGACTTGACCAAACCACTTTTATTAGGTTTTCTAAGTCTTCCTTAATTTGTCTTCTAGGGATATCAAATGTGCAAACATATTGGTGGATACTAATGGGTCAGTCAAACTTGCAGATTTCGGCCTTGCAAAGGTAATAATATTGCTTCTACCTGTTTTGTGCTGTACCTGTGATGCCATTATTTTCTCCTATAGCAGCACATTTCTGATATTTTATATGTACTTTTTGAAAAGCTTTTGCGGATGCAACAAGTCTGATATTGTGGTTACATTGTGCAGTCCATTAAATTGAACGATGTGAAGTCCTGCAAGGGCACTGCCTTCTGGATGGCTCCTGAGGTTCGTCCTGATTTTTTTCATCCCATTTGTACTGTTTGCACCTAGTAAAGTATTAAATAATCATGCATTTATATGGATAGAGATATGGGAGCGGGATCTGACTTAGAATAGATTAGTGAATTGGCAGAATCAGGAGTATGAAAAATAATTCCTTGTACTTTAAGGACGGTCAACTATAATAAGATGCGTTCAATTCAATTAGTAAAATCAGTGGCCAGCAACATGTGATGCCTATTATTAAGTGGATAAATTTTCCTTTTCATTTATCTTGAATATATGAGGTGACTTCCTGCTTTGCACTTAATGCTTTGTTTTAGATTCAGATACTCCCTCCGTCCTTGAGTATTTGTCTACTTTTAACTTTTTTCGGTCAAAATTGACCTCAAATTAAATAAAAATGATATTAGATATTGATACAAAAATAGTTTATTAGATTTATTAAATCAAATATTTTCAAAATATTATTTTATCTAATTAATATACATTTTATATTTTATTTAATTATATGTCAAAGGTTAAAAATAGTTGACTAAAAAAAGTCAAAATTGGACAAATACTCAGGGGACGGAGGTAGTATATGCTTAAGTACTTAAAACACAAGTATACAGATGATAAATTATGTTAAAATCTAGTTGAAGTAGCCTGGACAGACTCACCCAAAACATAGCCCAATAACACTTTGTAGTTTGCGCATATAATTTGTGCAAAAGTAAGTCGAAAAAAAACAGGTAAACAGATATCTACTATAAAATATGTTTTTTCTATGCACTTGTGTTTTGTAAATTTATTTTCTATTAGTTATTGGTATCAATCTGACCCACCCCGCCCCAATATCAAGTGGCTTTGCCATTGTCGGGCTTCTGGCCCAGTTTGAAATGAATTGTTTAGGGGCTTCTAGCATCTGGGAAGACATTGTGCCATTGTGGCAACTTTCTATTTTAAAAAATGTGAAGTAATTATGAGAGAATGAATTCTACTTATCAACTGATCTTTAAAAATCCTTGCACCTAATTATAATGAGGTTGTGATAATCTAAGCAAGTTTAGCATCAATTTGTGGGCGCAGGTTGTTAACATGAGGAGTGGTGGTTATGGGCTTGCGGCAGACATATGGAGTCTTGGATGCACAGTCTTGGAGATGCTTACACGCCAATTCCCTTACTCTAATCTAGAGAATGTATTCCCTTGTCTCCCTTTTCCATATTTTACTATTCATTAGTGAACCCAATATTTAAAATGATTTTTGAAATTTTGTTGCGTTTAAGAGTTTTTTTCCACATAGCTTTCAAGTACATAAATTTTATTTACAAGTTACAACACAATAAAATATTAAAAGAATATTCTTACAAATCTGGGGTTTAATAACTAAATAAGTTATTATTATTAATATTATAATAATTATTAGTTTCCTATTACTATTATTAGTTTCCTGTGATTAGGAGTATTGATAGTTTCCTATTAGTAGTCGTATTCTATTTTAGTTAATAGAATAAATATGGATTCATGCATGATTATTGATTATGATGGGTCTCTTGTACGGATTTGCCTATTTAGAGTCACACAATTATTAATAAAATTATCATTGTTGAACCAATTAAACAAATCTTTTAATAAGCCATAGACTATAAGATACGGAGTTTTTCCTCTTAGCCACGGGTGAGAGAGGGGTCCTTTTTTTTGAACGAAAAGCACAAGTATATTCAACACCAAACTGTCAAGGACATTTACAAACAAACTGGAAGCAGCCCAAACAAACTACTTAATTACATTTTCTCATTTTATAGTCAATATAGCTATGAATAGTAAAAAGGACATAATCTATAGTGTTCTGCTCGGTGATGACTTTCTGATGAATATGTCCATTTCTCGCCCTCCAAATCCCATAACAACCAATAGCACGCAGCCAGAATTTTCGTTCTATTGTTGATGTCGTACCTCCTTCTGATCTCCTCCCCAAATTCCTTGATGCTATTAGGGTTATTTCAAATGTTATAGGGTTGTAGAGCTGAGTTGAGAACCTTTTTAGTGAACTCACATTCACCGAAAAGGTGTTTACTATCCTCAAAGTTACTACCACAGAGGCAGCAATCAGTGTTTACTGCATACCATTTAGTCATTCTTGCCTTGGTGAGCAGTCTATCATGCATAAGTAGCCATAACAAAAATTGTACTTTGGGAGGGGTGACTTTGTTCCACGCCCAGTCAGCCCACATAACTTTTTGGGTATCTCCTTGAAGCCAATCATAACCTTTCTTAACATCATACTCTCCACAAATCTGCATGTCCCTGAAACTATCCCTCACCTTAACCATTTGTCTCCAATAATGACAAGAGAGGGGTTCTTCATCTATCTCTGGCATCTCTTCGGATCCCTAACAATTTGGTATCACTTTATTTTTACTACAAAGCTTTCTTATTTACCTAGTATGGATACAAGTGCTAAACATTAGTAGAGTGTTACTAGATTGCAAGGCTGTTGATATACTAAGGTGTGTCATTTCAAAAATAATATTCAAATAGTAAAACACAAATCTGTTAATTTAGAAATGACGACAGACTTCAGTGTGGACATGACATGGTTTCTTTATGTTTTTTTCCCCCTGTAATAGCATATGCAAGCAATTTTTCGGATTGGAAAGGGTGAGCCACCTCATGTGCCTAACACACTCTCGGATGATGCGTTGGACTTTATACATAGCTGTCTTCAAGTAGACCCAATAGCTCGTCCAAGTGCTTCTCAATTACTGGAGCATCCATTTGTGAAACAACCACACACGCCATCCACCTCAGTTTCAGCATCAGCATCTCCTCGCTGTGTTGGCAGGAGAGGAGCATTTTAAAAAACTGTTGCTGCAACTACTAATGGTGAGTTAATTCCAATATTCCATCCTTTGGTCCATACCTCTTTTCGTTCACTCTTCATGTGTGCAGTTTTTCTTTGTTATATGTTGCATTAGTTCAAAAGGAATTGGAGATGAGATCCTCTATTCCAAAACCTCTTACACTTTATCTTATGCTTTGTTTTTTTGTTTTATTGGACCGACGGTCTTTTAGAAATACTAGCTCTACCTTTATTGATAAATTGCTGTAATTATTTCCCAGAACTCCATAGAAAGTAAGAAGCAATGAAATATTAATGTGCCATTTTGATTTTTAGTCCATTATTTGCCTGAAAGCTGCTAAACCATTATCAATGGAGACTATTTTATCTCTATTGCCAGTGGACATTATGGCCTGTAAAATACACGCGACATAAATGCAATTGTTATGGAAATACCGTTCTGGAATAGGGGATCTCATCTTTATAGGGTACCTCTACTTCACTACGGCCACTTGCTTTTGTCATTGGCATGTCATTTTCTCCCTTTGAACTTGTCATTTTTGTAAACAGATCTCTTTAATTTGCCTAAAACCTACAAGATTGCCTCTGTTGAGTCCCTGGGATGTCAATGCTGCTTCCCTACATGCTCATTGCTACTAGTTTGATCAATGGAAACCAAACTTAACAGTCGCTTCTAACTAAGCTTTTTTAATGTTCTTAGGTTAGGAAGAACTGTCACTGGGGTGTTGGCATAGCTAGGACGCTTACTGTTGTAACTTGTAAGTTCATTATTTTTTTCTTTAAATTCTTTTTTCGATGATCTAGCTAGTTAGCATGGCCTATTACTCCGTCTTCGTTTTTGTCTGCTGTTTTAGTAAAGCATGTCGAGATCATTATCTATGTATGAATTGTCTATTGTATATATGTAAAGCTTTGTCTTTGAGAACAATAGCCTTTTTTTCCCTTTTTCTTTTTGTATGATTAGGGTTACCATTTTCCACCGCTTGTTAAAACTATTCCCAGTACCTTTTTGTATTATTAGGTTTAGCATTTTCTACCATTTCAAACCTTCATTCTGTCACATAACTCCTTTTTAACATACCTCACAATTTCACTGGAAATAGATTTGAAGTTCCGGGGCTTCAATCTGGAGTTTCAAATCTTTATTTTTTAGTTTTTTAGTACACATTTTGTAAAAGTAAATTAATAAGAATTTATTAATTAATTAAATTTAAACGATAATAATTCATTAAATAAAAAATTGCATTAATAAAAAAGATTTTAATTATAACATTAAATAAAAAACTAAAAATTACACACGAAGTGTGCAGCTGTCCGATCACGATTTAAACGCTCACATCGACTCAAGCATTGGGACAATCTCGCTTCATCTTGTTGTTTTTATTGCCACCATTGGTAAAGGCCTGTCGCAAAATAATGAAAAAATGAGAGCTTTTCTTTCAATGTCAGATGAAAATGATCTCATTTTTGGATTTTGTAAAGAGAATAAAAAATCGAATATACTCGATATTTTAGAGTAATTATAGAGAATGAGAATATATTTTGTGTGTTTTTTGTGTATAAAATAAGATGTATGTATAGTATTAATATATGTATTTTTTTAAATTTTTGACCAACGACCTAAAATAAGACCATTGGGGGAGGGGGGGGGGGGTCACATGCAGTAGCCAATGGTTGCGTCAAACTTTTAACTCTGTGCACATAACGCCCAAGTGACCCTAGAAAGGGCGGGCGTTAAAAATGCATTTGACACGCGGGACGTTACGTCCATTTCCACTAGTCTAAAATATCCAACTAAAAATTGATTCTTAAGAATGACTTTCACATTCGTGTGGACAAGAATGATTCCATGGAGGAAATGGGCCACGCCGCCACGGGCAATGTTTGGCAATATGTACCGCGTGCTTTTAATTGGAAGTGGGGGATATAAGGGGTGGCTCAAAGATCCTTCAAAAGGCCAATGCTCCGAATAATTACATAACCCTCCTTTTTTCTATAAGCCGCACCCCGTTTTCAACTCTGTCTCCTTCCAGAAGCTTACCAGGCTCTTTTTTTTTTTTCAATTACAACTTCTATATTAGAACTAATGTTCTATTCTACTTTCTAATACTTAATTTATAATATTTTTAAATTCTTGAAAATATATTCTAACTCACTGTTTTTTTTCCAACTTCTTCTAATTTCTTTCATATTATTATGTGCATGCTTCATATTATTATTATTATATTATTATTATTGTTATTGTTATTACCCCTTGGTTCCAATGACATTGGAAATCAATGCAATGGAATGACCCGGGGTATTCCGGTGTCCCGTTCCTAAAATTGATGGTTCCTACCCTCTAACCTCCCACCTGGCCTCGACCCGAACACACCTCTCCCACCCCCTTCAATTGCACCCCTAAAGTTAATTATGACTTTGGAGTCAAATTTTGACTCCAAAGTCAAACTTGGGGATGCAATTGAAGCGGGAAGGTAGGAGTGTTCGGGTCGGAGGGAGGGGGTAGGAATAGTCAATTTTACGAACGGGACACCAGAAGATCTTGGGTCATCCCATGACATTGATTTCCAATGACATGGGAACTGGCCAGTTGTTAATATTATTACTACAAAATGATTCTTTTGACATTGGTTATCAATACCATAATATGACATGGAATACCTATGATGTCTTATTTGCAAAATTTATAGTTTCTATCTCTTAACCCCTCGATCACCGATTCAGCATTGCAAAATCGGAAATTAGTGTTTTAAGCGAAGGGCATGGGGAGTTAAGAGAAAAACTATTAATTTTGCGAACATAACACTATAGGTGCCTCATGTCATATTATGACATTGATAATCAATGTCAAGAGATCTTTGCCCATTATGGGCCCGCTTCTTTAGACAAGTATTGATGTCATAATATGACAACAGGGGCTATTGTTCTACGTTGAAAAAAAATGATTATTCCTACTCCTAACCCCCATAACCTATACTCCAGCACCCCCTACCCCACTCCCAAAAAGCGTTGATTGGCTATAGTTTCGCTCTAGTCAATCCAAAAATAGTAATCTGAAATCAAAACTGAAATGATCTAAAGAGTGAAGATCTTATCTATAACCGAATAATTGAAATGATCCGAACTGAACTAAAATCAAAGTAAATGTAGCCATACCTGATTTAAATTTGAGGCGGGTAAGATCCGATCGATTAGGTTCGAAACCACAAAAATTTGAAACTAATAAGATTTTAAAAAGACAAAACTCGAAACTCGTAATATCCAAAACTGATTATATGTGAAAGTGATTCTAATTGAAAATAAACATATTATATTCATGTGCATTAGTGAAAAATTACATAAATGTAAATTTTTACTTTTATTTTACTATCTGAACTAGTTATATACTTATATTAGTTACTCCCTACGTTCCAAAATGAATTACCATATATTTAATCAAAATGCAAAATTTCATGTCTCTTAGTTTTAGTTTATTTAGAAATTGGTATAAGAATAAAAAAATACAATTTATATAAGAAATACTCCCTCCGTCCGGAAATATTCTTCCCGCGTTGACTTGGCACGCTTATTAGGAATAGTAAAAAAAATGCAAAATTTTCAAAAATACACATACTATAAACTTTTAAATCTTCTTTTCTTATTAAAAAAGTACTAAAAAAGTAGATTAGTGATAAAATAGAAGGGTATTATTGAAATTTATCCTTAAAAAGTATACTAAATAAGGAAATGTGAAGAATATTTTCGGACGGACCAAAAAAGAAATTAGGAAAAATATTTCCGGACGGAGGGAGTACTATGTAAAAATTGATACAAACAAGAGCACCGTTAAGAAAAGGTAATTCTCACCCCATGTGAAACAAGAGCTCTCATTAATGTAGTTGGCCAAATGTGTGCTCTGAATTACATTTAATTTAACTCAAATTTTATCTAATTACATTCAATTTCACTCAATTTCAACCAAATTGTATGTAATTTCATAAAATTTCACTCAATTTTTTTTCTAAATGCGTTCAATCTAAACCAACCGAAACAATTATTGGGCGTAAAATTGAATTACGTTTACTAAATTTTAATTAATTTTAATTAACTTTCATCTCATTAGGCTTAATTATATTTGATTAGAACAGAAAATTATTCTAACTTGATTTCAAATATTTACTTTTATTTTACCATCTAAACTAGTTATATACTTATATTAGTTACTCCCTACGTCCCAAAATGAATTTTATATATAGGTGCACCAAAATGGTTTGAAAATGCATTGTGTCGAAATGCACCAAAACTCATTGAAAATGCACTATCTCAAAATCTGAGCACAGGATGCAATCTGAGCCGTACGATGCATCAGATCTAATAGTTAGATTTTATTTTCATTTCTCTCCACAAGGTGCATTCTCACGGGAACCAGCCTATATATATATATATATATATATATATATATATATATATATATATAG